AATAAAATAAAATAAAATAAAATAAAATAAAATAAAATAGAATAAAATAAAATAAAATAAAATAAAATAAAACAAAATAAAATAAATTAGGAGGTTAGTTTTCGTTTTCGCTTTATTGGCTCTGGCGCTCGATCGCATTCCGGCACTATGGCAGTGCTTGTCCCGCGCTCAGATTTGTTGTACTCATCGTTCTCGCTTCATCCTCGTGAAATCCATAATGATTTTCGAAGCAGATGTTTTCGAGCATCTTCTTGAAAACTATGGATTGAATATATGCCTCGACGTGATCAGATAGACTAATCTCCTTCGCATAGCGTTTGTGGAAGTTCGTTACAATTCCATCCAGGTCATCACATACGGAATTATTTTGGTCCTGCATTTCATCTCTGACCCAAGCTTATATATATAGAGAGAGATAGAGGTTAATCTTTTTTCTGCTTTATTAACTTTCGCACTGGAAATTCCGGCATTGTGACTGTGCTTGTTCCGCGATCAGATCTGTTGTGCTGATCTTCGTTGTTTCATCCTCGTGAAATCCATAATCGAATGAGATGCTTTCGAGTGTCTTCTTTAGTGCTATCGTTTGGATATATGCCTCGACGTAGTCAGATACACTGATCGCCTTCACGTAGCGTTTATGGAAGTTCATTACAATCCTATCCCAAATCACATACGGGATTACTTTCGTTCTGCATTTCATTCATTCTGCCTTGAGTGTATTAGCCAGTAAATCGTACTTTTGCTTCTGTTCAGTCTCGACTGGCATCAACCTGTCCTGACTAGTGATGTTGACCTGTATCAAGATTGCTTCATGTCGCTTCTCAACGTGGATCATGATATCTGGTTGAAACTTTACAGATCATACTCTCGTAAAAATTTAGATTTGTGATTAAAAAAATATTAGATTTTGGCAATATCATACTTTGGAAGAGTGATTAAAGGGAATCAAAAACTTCAATTAGCTAACCATGTTAAGCCCACAGCAGCCATACCACCTTTGATCCCAGCGTTCATGATATTGTAACCACGATGATATGCCAGCTGCATTGTTTGTTCCCGTGTAAGGCCACCATCAGCATACCCGCAACCCATTTCACCAGTCGAATGACCAATAATTCCATCAGGTGTGACACCCATTAAAAAGAGCAGGTCTGTCAGGGCAATCTAAATAAAAAACAATCGCACTTTTTGCTTACACCTGAAATTAATATAATGTCCATGGACTAACCAAAATTATTAGTTCACTGACTGTAATGGAAATAATTACTTGGATAGCAGTAATCGCTACCATACAATGCAATGTGTTGTCTTTATAAATGCTTGGATCATCCTTTTGCAACATTTCGTAAACATTTAGACCAAAATCGATGAGAGAATCGCTTGAACTTCTTAAAGATTCATTGAAAGCAGGTATCGACATAAGCTGCCTAGCCATTCCAGCCCATTGACTACCCATACCTCAACATAATTCGAAATTAAGATTGTAGATCGTGATGTCTTCATCAGAGGCTCAGAAAAAAACAGAAATGGATGAGAACTTTTTTATAAAAACAGCGCTCACCCGAGTATACAAAATAAATTTGCTTTGGCTCTGTTATCATTATTTTCTGCACATCACGAAGAGGTGGTAAGTTGGGATTTTTAACTGCCTCTGATGGACTGGGAATTTTATCACGATTAAAAATCATGAATCCACGATACGGTGTATCTTTGGCTGGCATATTAGCTTGATTTGCTAGGAGTTGTTGCAAATATGCGTTGCTTGGATCCGAAAGTATGCAATCAAAAATGTTGTTAACTGCTTCTGAAGTTCTTCCAGAATAAGGAACAATTTTCATAAATGTTGTCGGCGCTGGTTTACGTTCTGCATGATTGGCCGGGCGAAGAATTATATGAGTATTACTGCCTCCAAAACCAAACGAGTTGATACCTACAAGACCGCGTGGAAATGGTGTCTTTTCAATAACAACCTGAAAGAAGTAAAGCAGTGTAAAAGAAGTAAAAGTATTAACTGCACGAAATTATTTTTTAATCTCTTTTCTGATAATTTGTAACATTACAGAGATCAGAAACAGACAGGCATGAGAGGAGTGAGGAAACAGACATTCGCACTTAAAAAATCTTAACATAAAATACAAAAATTTGTGAGTTGAACCTGCAATCGACCATCGATAAGACCAGGAATGTATGGATTTGGTTCATTATAATGCAAGTTTGGTGGTATATAGCCACGCTCCATTGTTACCAAAACTTTGGCGATTGAGCAAAGACCAGATGCTGGTTCTGCGTGACCCATGTTTGATTTCACTGAACCAATGAGAAGTGCAGTATTTCTGAAAACTTTTTCAATTCCGGAATAAACGGAAAATTTTTCGACAAACAGTTATTGGGACAATAGAAAAGTAGAAGGTAGTTAGCAAGTAACAAATTTCATCCCTTTGACTCCGATGTTATAGCGATATAAATAATTCACCTATTTTGACAGAAGACTTGGCATATTGCATTTGCTTCTTGTGGGTCTCCAACTTTTGTACCCGTTCCGTGACTTTCTACATATGTCACTGTATTAGGATCAACTCCAGCTTCACGATAGACCTCTTCTAGCAATGTTGCTTGCCGCTCCCCTGATGGAAACGTTATCCCCTTAAACTCCGTCGATTACAAGGATCTACATAAAATTTTGATGAAATTTTTGGAAAATTCGTTCTGTAGAGGACGGTAAAATAGATTACTTCAAAATTATATATAATTTAAATACTTGTTCTTTGTAGCCATCAGTGTTACTCTTTGCATGAACCACAGTAGCATAAATTCGTCTAGCTGCTGATTGCCTTTGAAGTAATATCGCAGCAATAGCTTCTGTACGACAATATCCATCGCCTTAAAACAAATATATGATAAAAATGGAATGATTAGTCGATTCTGCTACTGAACCATAACTGACTATTAAGCACTTTAATCACTAACTGTTTGTTAAAATAAAAAGTGCAGGCATAAATACCTGAAGCATCGAAAGACCGACAGCTCCCTTTATCAGATAGCATGCCAAGTCGTAGAAACTGTAAAGCTGCAGTAGGTGTAAGAGTTAAATGAGCTCCAGCTACAATCGCTGCATCACATTGTTCTTGACGTATTGCATCAACTGCTAATTGTAGTGCACATAATGATGAAGAACAAGCTGTATCCACCGAAAACGACGGTCCTAAGTAATCATGCCTCTTTTAAGTTTCGTAGTGTTGTCGCGATCAAAATATCTTTCATTAAATATGAGGAAAATTAAACAGCATTTCAATTATTATGGCCTTTTGTTTGCGAACTCTTCACTATGTTTAGTTCAATGAATGTTGTACCTCTCAAGTCGAACGTAAAACTAAGACGATTACTGAACATTGAACGGACACATCCAGTCAATGTGTATCCAGTAACAGTTTCCGGATCTTGCGTCAATGCTCCACCAGTCTCGGAAGCTGAACATCCCACAAACACTCCCGTCCTTGAACCACGTAGTTCAACTGGATTTAAACCTGAAATTCCTCCAACACGTAGTAATTTTATGTTTATGCTAACTTTGCTAAAGTTTCCAATTTTTCTTTCTATACGCCTAGAGAATTGTATTAAATGAAACAATCAATAATAATGACAAATTTAAAAATATGTGTTTTAGTATTAATACTTCACAAATTCTCATATAAATATTTATATATTCAAAATTATTTTTCCAAAAATCAGCTTTTTAATAGTATTAATAATTTAATTTAAGAGTTATTTAATTTTTATTTTCAATGAATTATTTGAAAATCTAATTTCAGTCCGACTTTTGAATTTTTATGACATCATTAAGCAAATGCCAAAAACAGGTACCAAAGAACAAAATTCCTTTAAATAATTTTTTCCTCAAATAATTTTGTCGTAAAAATAAGTTTCATTCAAACAAAAACTGCAAAAAAATTGAAATCCAAAAAGCTGTCTTTATGCTCCAAAAATTTGTACTGTAAATTTAATAGATTTCATATTACTATGACATATAGCAATAAAAGCCACAATAGTATTAATATAGTCTTTTTTATAAAAGACTGGTTTACATGTTATGTCACGGAATAGAAGATTTGCTCAAATCTCCTCTTTAGGTAACGAAAAACGGCTTTTGATGCAAGTAATTTCAAGAATTTATAAATTATCATTATTTCATTTGAAGGTAAAGAAAATATATAAATTTGAAACAAGGTATACTTATCTAAATCTTGGCACTTATATAAGCTTTTCAATACGTTTTTTCGCGTATAATGAAGTGAGCACCTGAGATAATGATAATGATGTACTTGAAAGCTCTTACTTTTGTCAGCTGATTACGCTACTTTGAAGTCGCTTCCATAAAATAAATGTTTCTTTTTTGTTTTCAAATATTTTCCCCTCGCTATATTCTTTTGCATTTATTTTTGAAGAAAAACTTTGCTACTTTTCCAGCACAACAAGTTCAAAGAAATTAAGGAGTATTATTTACCGAATGCTAAAGTTGTGAAGAAATATGTATCGACTCAATCCCAGGTAAGCAAAAAAAGTTAATTTGCGTGAAAATGAGGGGTGTACAAAAAAGAGAGAGCTATTGAACTGAAAGAAAAGCATCAAAATGTGAAGTTTAGGCGATGATTTATAATGAACAGAGAAATTATTCTTTGTATTCAAGGTTGAATGGTACAAAAGGACACTATTCCCAAGACCCTGGTGATTTGGTACACAAACTTTTCCAAGTATATACACGCAAATACTGGTGGTCTCACTTTTAAAATTTTTATTTTCGTAAGTTTATCAATTTAACATTTTAGGCACCCTAACTCTCAATTCCGTCATTACTGTTATCAGTCACTGCTTGCCCCATTTTCCTTCCCAGTCTGATTACAATGGAAAAATAATCGTGCAATAGAACAAGAATGACAATCATTAATTTTGAGAGAAGATAGAAATCTAGACGACTTCGAAGATTCTAAAGATAAGCAATGAGTATAGAAATATTTCAAAACCATCGTTTTCACATAGGTTCATTTCCCATTAATTTTTTAAGATGAAATCAGCGCAGATGAAGTGCCATGTCAAATATTAAAAAGGTGTAAAAAGATTATCAGATAACAGGTTTTCAAAAATGAGAGCCGAATTATATTATCTAATAGTCTAGAGTTGCTTTTTCTTACTTCAAATGTTTCGAAGTGACTTTTGAATCTCCAGTTCGCAAGAAAAACCAACAAACTACATGTGACCATTTTGTAATGTTAATATATTCATGAAAATGTTATTAAGAACAAAATTCCATCCTTACCAGCATCTATAATTGCTTCCAAAGTCACTTCCAATAATTTTCTTACTTGGGGATCCAAATAATTTGCCTAAAATGTCATCCTTAAAGTGGCATCAAAGACTGTTTCAAAGAACAAGCAAATTGAATAAAACTACTGACTAATATTTGAAAGATAGCTAATAAAACTACTATTTTAAATACAGTTAATTTCTCATTTTAATTAAAGAAGAAAAATTATTTTTGTTTGAAATCAACCAAATCTAAGAACCTGCTTTGGTGTTACCCCAAAATATTGAGCATCAAATTTTTTCAAGTCTTTCAGCTTTCCATGGCGTTTTGGCAAATCAAAAATTCCTAAAAACATATTTCTGACACAATACCAATTTATGTTCTGAACTTTGTTAAAAATGCTCCATAATTTCTAAATGTACTACCATTAAAATAAACTCTCCAGTACCAAGTACCAGTAACAATATCATTAACTTACTGATATATTTAATGTACATTTTTTTAGACTTCATTAGGATCAGCAGGTAACAGTTACCTGGTGGCCAACGTAAGTTATCTTCAGTCACCAGATCTTCCCCAGCCATAAGCAAATCTCCGAATTCCTGGACATTTTCACAGCGTGGAAAACGACCAGAAATGCCTGTGATGACTATTTCTTCTTGATCTCGCCAAAATGGCGCTTCACCCGATAAATTCATACTTCCGTTTGACTAAAATTTTGCAATTATTAATTATCAAACTCTATTGAAAACAAAATTAAAATGAATTAGACGCAATGTAGCAATAACAAGATGAATTTTGCGATCATTCAGGTAAAATACCTATATTCAGATATTTTTTAAGTGGCGTTGCTTTTATAACTTCTTTAATTTCAGAAATGATCAATATTTGAAAAATTACTGCTGAGATCAAAAAGCTCGGAATAAGTAGAATTGCAGAAAATGGCTGCTTATTTCAAATGAAGAAAATGAGATCAGATAGATCAAGGTATGAGTGGGGTAGGGATTTGTCAAGATGTTATATATGCACAAGTAAATTATTATTTCAAATTGAAGCCAGGACGAAGTTCAAATTGTATTTAAGAAAAGATTTATGGCTAGCGAAAATTGAAATATAAAGAAAAGCAAAGATGTACGAAGGTGCGAAACAACATTTAAAAAAATGATAACGTCTTCATTCTGCGAACTGTTGTTACTTGTATGGCCATTTTTTTACATGTTCACAAAATGCAGAGAACATCATTTTTTTTAAATAAACGGTAATGATTGCGAAGATAGGAATTGGCTCAACAGCTGAAGAATTGGGAAAAATGAATAACGCTGGAACGGAGACATTAATTAAATATAAAGTCATCCTGGAAGTGATTGATACATGTAAATGTTTGATTAGTTAGATAGTCAAATGGCAGTTTACAATGAATTATGGATATATTAGCGCACCACAACAAGAAGGAAACAAGCGTTGATAGTTGATAAGCATTATCTTGTGTTAGGT